ATATCTTTCTTCATCTCTTTTCTTTCATTTGGGTGTGTAAAACACCATTTCTTTGATTGGTTGGGAGATAAATTTGTGAACAACCAGTAGTTCCTGACTATGTCAAGAGTGGCACACGGCCCTACGTGTGGCACATGCCACTCTTCCTATAATCAGAGAGCTTCATCTTTTAAACTATGTGACCACCTGATCAACGAAAGTGCCTAGTGCCACTATGTGTGGTGCCAGGCACTTCAGTTCAGAGGTCCAAAATCTTAAAAATCAGTAAAACGGACCCGATTCCGAGATCCAGTGGTTAAGCACCAGACTTTATTGTTCTAGAGTGCATTTTTAGCCACGAATGGATTGAATAAACACTAATAAATAAGATTTGGGGTTGTGATGGGTGCTTTTGTCCATCAACTATGATGAACATCAAGATCTTGAACTTTAAACTTTGTTTAACCTTTACATTTATGATTTTACTTTACTGCGTTTCATTTCCAAGCACTTTAAATTCAAGTCCTTTACTTATTATGCATTTTACTTTAATGCTCTTTAGTTTATGTAAATCTAACCCATTTGACTTTAGTTTAGAACTTCTTAACATTTAACATTCATCAATTCCATTATTATTTAATGAATGTATGATTGGTGCTTCTGTGGATGTTTATTCTTGTTTGTGTTTGTTGTTCTTTATGTTTGGATTGTGGTTTAATTCTTATGAGCTGAATGTATAGGACCTTGATGGTCCTATTATTACTTAAATGTAATAATTTAGGGGTTTAGGAAATTTGGAAGGTTGAAAGGTAGAATGTATAATTAGGACATGGTTTGTACTCTTTTCTCCTCCCTCTTTTCTTGTGGATGATTTACTTTTCATGTTTTATGTGATTGATGATATGCATGATTGACATAGTTTAGTAATAATGCATTAAAACCAATTTTACATCTCAATTCTAAGTTAATTTTATTATTAAATCATTGTGAATTAATGGACAATAAGGAGGCCGGTTTAAATTTGGGTGGTTCGGGTGCCTAACACTTTTCCGATACATGCAAGGAAGTTGTGACTATAAGTCTTAATCTAAATATAATGTAATAAGGTACCCTTACTTTACCTATGGTATTTTGTGTACATAAATGTGTATGATAAGAATGTTATGACATCTTGGATGTCTTAATAATGTACTTGAAGTATGAAAAATTTAATTGGAGCTTAATTGAGCGTGAATAAGATTGATTAAAGACGATGAATAATTAGGCTTATATTATGTACTTGGATGAATGATTGTGAAATGTGATTATTTAATTATGAAAAATTGTGCATGCTTTAAGTATGAATCCCATAGGGTAAGTACTAGCATTACTATTGATACGAATTTGGATATTGGAGCTATGATCATATGCTAGACATATGGGTATTTTATGAGTGAGCAGACGTGCTCTACTGAATTGAAAGGCTTGTGTCAGTGTGATAAAGATAGTAAGTAACCCTAGAGGGCTCTACTATCTGTTAGTTTAATTTGATATCTATTTTGCTTCTATTCTGTCTAAGTTACTAATAAGGCCCTAACTTGAAATGAGTATGTGAAAAGTAACCTAATATGAACTGAGTATATGGAAAATGAACTAATTGGAAATATTGAATTATACTTTGTCTTGTTGATGTTTAGTTTATGATTAAGATTATCTTATGTTATAAATGTATATTTATTATGAGGAATGATTTAATGGTAATAATTATGCATCTACATTATGCCTTGGATGTTAATTGATTATCCAAAATGTTACTTGATTATAATGGTGATTGTGAGTTATGCTTCTATTGATTAAGAACTTTTGTCTATAATTATGTGAGAATGTATGTTGCTATGCATCTTATGGTTCAGACACCATGTTAGTTGCATGTTTTAAGCACTACTGAGTTTTATATTCAACATGGGATTTTGTTTATCTCGCGTAGGTTTTTGCTTTGGAGGTGCTAGTTGAACCTTGAGATTCCGCAATTGAAGAAAGAAGTTTCCAGTTTTACATTTCGGAGTATGGACTATCAGAGTTATGAGTTATTAGTTTATTTTTGGGTTGCAGTTAAAAGTTTTGAGATTTAGGTTGGATTCGGAATGTAATAAGCTTAAGGTTTTTGCCTAATCTTTTGGTTTTAGAGTTTTTAAACAGTTATGGTTTATTTTAACGCTTATTTGGTTTATTTCAAACTATTTTGAATATAATGACTTATTTGAAATCATTTGAGGATTTGGTAACTCGATCAAGATTTGATTAAGTTTATTTTGCAAATATTGAATGCTAACTTGATGTTTTGAGTTGGTAAGATTAACGGATTTTCAAAACAGGAGTTTGTTAACATGTTTAAATGCTCTATAAACGGGGGAAACTCTTGCATTTTTTCTGCAGGATTTACCTTAATAATTTTCTAAGTTTTATAGGCTTGTAGATTTTGTATAAACTATACTTAAATTAGTATACCAATAATAATTACTATTTGTAATTAGAATCTTGCTTTGTTGTCTTTGGAACTGCAGTGTGGCATCTATTGTCTAATCTTATGAGACTGGAAAATGGGTGTTACAATAAGTAGCACAATTTGTCACTGACAGTATTTTGAATTATAGAATGACAAATGTTAGAAGCATGAATGAGAAATAAAAAAAAAAAATCATGCAAGTAATTTATTTAGCTGTGTATATCAATGTGGCTTTTCATTCCTCAAGATGAATATTAAAAAATAGATATTAAATATATATATATATATATATAACAAATGTTAGAAGCATAAATGGGAAATGAAAAAAAATCAAAATTTCATGCAAGTAATTTATTAGTTGTGTATATCAATGTGTCTTTTCATTCCTCAAGATGGCAAATCTTAACATTACAATTTTTTCAACATATCTCAATGAGATACAATTTTGTAATGCATTTCACGGTCATTTTATTATACAATTTTGTTATTTTTGAATGATGTTATAAAAGATTATTCATCCTGTAATATTGCTTCGCGTATCGTGCAGATTCTAACGGTTGTTATTTTAAACATCCTAAATTAGACTATGCACACAACTCTCAATAGCACATTACATATTTTGGAGATGAACTATACGGAGTACCAACTACTGCAATTATTATGTCAAGTAAATTGTGACCTATTCTTGTTGGTCCCAAGTCAGGGGCATCAGTTGTTAGTTATGCTCTATAGCCAATTGATTGGTTGTATTTTGGACATAATATTTTATGTAATAAATTTCATTATTAATTAAAGACATTTATTTATCTTTTATGTTCTACTAATTGAATCTCGGTTAAAAGATAAAGTCCATAAAACTATATTGCTTTGTGAAGTAAATTATAATTTGGTTATAATTATGAGTTTTATTTTGCATTAAAGTAATGTCTCTAAATGTTCATGGTCAATGTTCTTCTTATTATTAGATGATTAGAACTGTTAAGACCAGTACATATTAGTTTCTTTTCTTTGTAAAAGGAACCAGTTATTCTCATAAGCTGAGATAGATGTGATATCTAAAACAAATATGTAGGTGCTTATTATTTAAACGAGTCCATTGAATTTACCTACATGAGAGTTCCATATGGAGAGCTACGCGTGTCTATGGAATACTCAAGTGATGGTTATATAAATAATTTTTAACTTGAATTTACTAAGCTATCTTGTACAGGGATAATTATATTTTGATTCTTCATTCACATTATTCATTTATGAATGGACATAGCATAAATTATATGGACATATGGAAGAAAATCCTAAAATAGACCTTCCTTTATTGATATTGTCTTGGAACTTGGCTCCATTTCGGAGCATAGAAAAAAATCAATTAAAGAAAATTTGGCCCTTTGGTCAATCTTCTACCTTACAGGATAATCAGCACGACATCTCTTTAGATTCCTTGGTTTCAATGACAGAAATTAAGGAACTTGGAAAACAATTGGGATTTTCACTTTTTATGGTTGTTGTGCATCAAAGCAAGGGTATGATGGAAATTTTATTATATTCTCTCTTCCCCATATACTTTAATTTAAAAGTTAATGATGAAATTATGTCAAAATAATGGAATGACCCATTTATTTAACAGAATAGTAACTTTCGGACGTTATAATATTAGTTAATAATAGAAGAATATAAGTGTTAATTAGAGTATAACTTAAGGACCCAAAAGTACTTTTCACTCTAATTATAAAGGTATACAAAATATCGTGAGTAAGGAAGGTCGAGTGGTAATCAATCGATCTTTGGCCTGGAGGAGGTTATGCTAATAAACTTGAACGTATCAAAATATTCTGAACTTTACACTTTTTTGTAATTTTATTTTATTTTGATATTTTCATCTTTATCCTAATTTTGACCTTTCATAGTAACAGCAGCTTTAATTGCAATTAAGGATGAAATTATAAATAAAGAAGTACTTTCATTTTTATTAATAAAAATAAAATTTTAAATACATGAAACATTTATAAATTTAGAAATATAATATTTAAGACATGCATAATTAAAATAATTAAGAAATTATTTATTTATTTATTTATTTTTTGTTAAATGAATTGTAATTTTCAAACAATTACTACAATTAAAATCTTTTTATCGTTAAAATATAGATAATATTAAACAAAAACATGTAACTGAAAAATTAATTTATTTTTTATACCATACTGAGATTTTGAAGTTGTAATAACAGTAGGCCATAGCAAAAGGTTAAAATAGAGTGATTCAAAACCTTATATGTTCAATTTATTCTAATATATTAGGCCATAACAATAGATCAAAAACTTCATTAGGATGCTAGCAGCAGCAGTAATAATAATAATAATAATAATAATAATATAACAACAACAACAACAACAGCAACAACAACAATAATAATAATAATAATAATAATTAGTTGATTTTTAAGTTATTATTACCCTTATGAAAAAAATATTTTCTAGAAAGTAACTTTTTTTTGTTGATGTTTTGAAGACCAAACACCCAATGATTTTGGTTTGCTCGCTTAGGCTCCCCCGTATGTCTTGTGGGAAACCGAAGTATAGTGATAACTTCCTATTTGTAAATGCACCACTTTGCATTTACAAAAAAGACACAAAATAACATGCAAAATTCGACAATCTTATCAAAATTCAGTCTTACAACTTCTAAAAGCACAACGTAAAACAATCCAATGATTGCTCAATAAGGCCTCATAAGATTTTGGGCCAACTCAATTGCCTATGATTTACAGAAAACATCCTTTTGTAAATCCTTAAATAGCTTTAAATCAACACGAGCTATAGCGCTTCTGCAATGAGTTTTTCAGTAAGAGTTTTTGAAAGTCCCATCACTGTATCAGTACTCCCTATCTGCAAAATATCAAATTGATGCTTTTGTCAGACTAATTCAAAGGAAGAAGACATGGGTAAGTTCCTACTCTCTCCAAGTTAAGAAGAGAAAATTTTTGTCTTTTGCTAGTTAGCAAATGCTTATTGGAACATTGTAAATTAGTTGGAATTCAACATGTCTTAATTCGAAATTAAGAGACTTTTATGATATTGGATATGTCAACAGTTCCATTTGATAATGTGGTTGGGAAGAAAGTAAATTAAGAACAAAAAAATAAAAAACACATAGTAAATGAATGAGGAATGAAGATTAAAACCACTAGAGTTGGAACTCTAGGGGATTAAGTAAATAATGCCTAAATCCACAAACATGCAGTCGTACACGCACATGCATGCAGAGAGAGAGAGAGAGAGAGAGAGAGAGAGACCACTGCTTCAACAAAGGGTGATATCAGCGGGTGCTCTAGCATGAGACCTCCAGCAACCTTGAATGTAACACCATCCTCAATCTGAGCACATCTTGCCACCAAGAAAGAAACTTTGTTAACAATATTTAGTAGAGTGACTAGCTCCAGACAGAATCTAACAGAGAATGAGTACTTGTAAAACTTACCAGACTATTGATTACCCCATCTGGTATCTCATGGAAATAAACCTGTACCACAACGGATATTATTTTTCAAGACTTGTGTGCATGTCATGGTCAACTTGTATAAATTTAAAAAAAAATAAAAAACAAAAGAAAAAGATAAAGAAACCACATTTTATAACCAATAAAATCCAACGTTGAAGAAATTCCAAATAAAATTCCATTAACATAAAAATATAATTTTTAAACAAGCTTTTTTTTTTTTTTTTGGTTAAGGGGGGAGGGGGTGGCAAAAGACCAAAATAGAGGGAGCAGAATCTTGTATATAACCTCACAGGCATTAAACATTCTAGATATATAGGAAGTAAAGTAAAACAAACTTCTATTGTTTTATTGAGTAGTCCATACAGAAAGGGCATTTGAGTGTGAATAGGCTCAATTCCGGTAACCTGGAAGTGTATTTATCTAGATTTCATCACAAAAAGGGTTATCAAAATAACATTATCAATTTCTTTCTTAAGGTTAACATAATAACTGATAGAAACTTCCTTATAAATAATATGCTTTTCAACTAGCCCCCACAATTAGTTGTGCTCAAAACCATTTAGTCTAGTAAAATTTACAATAAATGCTAGTACCAGAAAGTAATACCTCTGCCCTCTCCCATGCTCCCTTTCTTATTCCTGTCTTAAGGTTAATTACTAGAACAGATCCTACAACAGCTCCACTATCACTAGAATAGCCTGCAAACAATAGACACATGACCACTAACCTGTACGAGTCTTGTAAGTGGTGGAGAGAAGAAAAAACCATTAACCAACCTTTGATGAAATTCCGTGCTTCTTCTCTGCTGGTTGGCTTTTCTCTCACTATCCCTTTATATACCACCACCTCAAAATCAAAGGAGATTAAGCAATGAGAAATAACTTTCAATTATTTACATGACAATAAGGAGAAAATCATCAAACATCAACATGGACTTCTAATGTTTGCATGTAATTTGTAGCATGTTCTACTAATGGCAGACCACTTATGAACATTTAAAAGAAGTGTATCTATGACTAGTGAAACAAGTTCCAAACATAAAAACTGAATACGCAACAATGAGCTAAGACAAATGTCAAAACTTTGCATATTTGACCATGGAATCTCGCACAATTAAAAATTTAGACAATTGATTAAAATATGCTTCACCTTTTTTTTCTCTCTTAAAAATTTTCCAAGATTTAAGAAATACTATGAAAAGTTAAAAAGGGATAATGATCAATAATACAAAGTAATCACAACAAAACAAACTATGTAAAGAACCATAGCATATTTAATGTTTGACACCAAAAAACATAAGGTTTCTGTTAAGAAGCCTCACATATTTGGTGCTTGCATGAAAGCTAATGGAAATGGTTGATCAATATACCAATTAAGTCTCTCTATTATGATTGTATTGTGGTCAACTCTGATATACCAGTACCAACCTCTTCTAGTTATCCAGAATAAGGAAAAAGGAATTTAAGAATAATAGCATTTTAAAGTTTTTCTACCCACAAAAGTTCAATATTTTAAAAATTCCGTTGTGATTTCTTCATTTCCTTATCTATCACTGAGCTAATTTAAAAAAATATATATAATTGAAATTTGCTGATGTAGGCAGATCTTTTTTCTTTTTGCAAATCATGTGAAAAAATTAATATAATAAAATACTTCATACCAATGACGCATAGTTTTTTATTAGTACCATAAATTAACAGAAAAAGTAAGGACTTGTGGGTTGTCATATCAGCTAATCTAGGTGTAACTTTGCATGAAATTGGATCAATGATAGAACGCAAAAGATTAGAAGTTGTCATATAAAATCACTAAAATTAAAAATTCATGATAGAATTACCAAAAGCATTGAAATTGAAGGTTTTTTTATTTTTTATTTTTTTAAATTAAGGCTTTACAAATAGCAATTCACTGAATAACACAAGTTAGACCTGAACTTGCCTTTCTTTTCATATTAAAGCCACCGGAGCTTAGCAACGGAATTTAAATATTCATATTCAAATCAAAACAATTTAGAACTGGGAATAGCAAAATAGAATTAGCACAAACTGTGTCTGCCGTAATCAGTAAGGTTGCACGAGCATCCTCTTCCAGTTGACCTGTAGTTTGGAGCCTTGCTATGATGGCATCTGCCTAGGAAATAAAATAAAAATAAAAAACAAGGTAGGAAATTCTGTTAAAATAAATTAATAAAAGTATATATTTGGGCCTTGCTATGATGCGCATCTGCCTAAGGAAATAAAATAAATAATAAAAAACAAGTAGGAAATTCTGTTAAAATAAGATTAATAAAAGTATATATATAAATATATATATATATATATATATATATATATATATATATGTATATATATGTATATTATAAGTCATGAATTGAATGCCACCAAGCTGAAGTATTGTCCAACGGAGTTCTATCATAAAATTAAAAAAAAAAAGAAAAGAATGGAGCCCAAAACACACAAGCTTTACATTATTAGTTAAGACAAGCTTTACATTATTAGTTAAGCAGCAATATGAATTTTTCTTACCTTAGTATTCAATCATGATACTGAGGTTTGCATATTGATAAATGTCTAGAATCTATATAGCAAGTTCAGAAGGAAAAATTAAATGGAAATGTACAAAAAGTTATCAGGTGGTTTCAGACTTTTTCAATGTAGGATACATGGAACTATTTTGACAAAAAAGGGTTAGTGTTTCTTTTTGTTAACAATTACGGATCTAGTGTCTTATATCATTAGTTTGTGCTGATTTGGTGGTTAGATGTCAGACCTTAATCGATACATGGCATCATTAACCAAGTGCCACTCAGACCCTTACTTGTATATATAATAAAAACACCAAACCCTTTTTTTTTTGTCAAAAAACAATTCATAGACCTTGAAATGAAAAAGTCTTTAATCGGAGTAGTTTTTTTATACTTTTACCAAAGGTCTAATTTTGCTGGAGCCTAGGTATAATTTTAATTAGAGTAGCAACCAGTTAACTATATTTAACTGAAGTGGCAAATTTACATAGCCCATTCAAAGCAATTAATTGTATTTAGGGTATTTAAGAGTAAGAAAAAGTAGTAGCTGGTAAAGAACCCAAACCTTGGCATGAGCCAAAGACATAACCAATTCCTCAGGCTTGTCTTTCCTTATGCTCTTTTCATCTATATCTGCAGTCTAAATTGAATACTATTAAACTTTCTACCTCATAACCTTAACAAGAATCTAAAAAGAGAACAAAGTGTGCTTGCATTCCCAAAACACAGGGGAATATGAGCTGCTGAAGAATATACCACGATTGAGAACTCATATCCCATCTCAGCTAGAATTCGCCGTCGAGCCATGGATGATGAACCCAATATAATCTGCCAGAAATTTCATGCCCAATAAGAGGACAGCTTGAAAGAGAGATTTTGGCTTTTAATAGGCCAAAGAGACATATTTATCTCAAACTTTGCAACTTACAACAATTACACTCCATTTTTGAATTTTTACTAATTGTATCCCAATTGGCAAGTTTGGCATTAATTATACCCTAGAACAAATTTTGAGAATATACTTCAAATTGGTCAACTACTACTTCAGTTGCATTTAATTTGGTACAATTTATGTTTAGAGCCAAAACTTTTATCGTTGGATTGAATCCAGTTTCTATTCAAACAAAAGAAATAATTTCACACTTTTAAAAGATCAACATCTTTTTTTTAAAAAAAAAAAAAAAGAAAATTGAAGCACAAGATAAAAAGATTGAAATTAAAAAAAAAAAAAAGTGATAAAGGTTGACTTCTACAATGATTTTATTTGGGTCAATTAAAATCCAATTTTTTTCAAACAAAATAAAAAATTATTTTCACATTTTTAAAAGATAAAATTTAAAAAAAAAAAAAAAAATAGAAAGTAGAAACACAAAATATCAAGAATCTAATATTCAAGACTAAAAATGAAAAGAAATTGATTTTGGCAACTTATAATTCTTTTTATTATTATTATTTTTATCTTCTAATTGGACATGGCTATGTAAAATTATGGGTTGATTTGAATATGTAAAATTATGATAGATTTTGAATATCTATGATATTGACATAAAATTTTTTTTCATCACTTATGCATACTAGTCTTGAATTTTTTAAACATGTAATATAATTTCTTTTTTTGAATAAAAATTTAATGCAGTTGTGCCATAATTGTGTCTGCCTAAATCTGTTTTAGAGTAAAGATACTCGCAATCTTACAAATTGGGGTACAATATTAAAATTATATGTATTTTTCTATTTGGCCGTTTAACTAATTTATACGAAATGGAAAAACAAGAGCCAAATGCAACTATGTAGTCCACATAACAAACCTTAAATGAGGATTTGCAAACATCCATCTGTTTCTCTTCCAAGCTACACTTTCTTAGGCATGCTACACGTTCCAAGGGGATTGTTGACATAGTTGTCCAAGAAGCAAGAGGCATTATGGTGGACAGAATACGCAAAGGTCTAGGCACTCTGTGCTTATCCATTTCTTTCAAACTCCACTTTCTTATGTGTAAAACGGGAGATGATAACACTGTTGTCAAAGAAGTAGGACGCATTATGGTGCTCAGAATACCAAAAGGCCTAGAGATACGTGCACACCTGAGAGATGAAAGATGACTATTTAGTGTATAATAAAATCCTGAATTTGCAATATGTTCTTTAAAAGAAAAGAAAATAAATGTAGGCATCAGTAATTGAAAACATACATATTGATACTGGCTAAAATTGAAATGGGATTAACATGAAGTGGTTTTCTTCTTCCGCTCTAAATCAGCAACAATAATCTGTATGTTTAGGACAATGTCTTTTGTCCCAGCATTATAGTGGCTCTCAAGTGGTCAATTCTAATGAACAAGTTTTACCTATTTCATTTAGCGGCAGGGTTAAGTCTCACAACAGACCCACGTTCCATAACATCATTCAACACTCGAAACTAAAAAAATTTCCAGCTCTTTTTTCAGTTTTTTTAAGTTGCTTGGTAAGTTTATGCTTAAAATGACATGTTAAAATTTTTAAATTTAAATGTGCATTGGACACAATCACTAATCAGGTTTTTAACTTTTAAACAACGTTAATGTAGAATTTTGGACACTTGTATCATTCAGTGCTTCACATTCAGCTCTTAAATATTCTGTACTTAATTTTAATCTTGCTAGAAATCACCTAAACAAAATTCTAATGTAGACTTAATTTGAAATCGGATAAAGTTTACCCATGCATTATTTATAGTATGCTCTCATAAAAGCTGAAAAAGTAAACTCATAAAACCCAACAAAGAATCATGTCAAAAGAATAAGTTTCTTATTCAAGTCATAATAGCAAGAAACAATTCCATAACTAGTTGTTTTGGTATCTTATTTGCACCTCTGTTGTACATTAATCACCCAAACCTGCAAACCATTTCCCTATAACAACTACTAATTTCCTAAAAACTCATATCATCTTTAAGCATACAGAAGCAACCCATGTGGAGATGAAATTGCATTTCAGAAGCATGACTAGTTAAAACCGAAAAATAAGTGAAACATTTCATCGAACAATTATCATGCAATAGCGGCAGTTTTGGTCTTCACTATTTTTCAGCAATAAAACAAAACCCAATAAATAATGTAATCTAAACTACACCAATTTAGAAGAGAGTTGGACTAAGAAATCATACCTCGACGGGTGCAATGTCGTCGTTTTCAGGATAATGGTAGGCAACCACCGTTCTACCAATTTATCGATAGCAAAGGCTCTTCCTTTTTTCGTTTTTTGTTGGCCAACGACCTTTTATGTCTAAAGATTGGTTTGTTCACTCTTCCACGAGGGACACAGATTCGTTAACTTATCATTAATTTCGTTATCACAATGTCAGTTGTTATTTCCTTTTATTTCTTTATGGCAGTTATAGATTTACTTCCTTTCCAAAATTATTGTTTTCTTTTTATAACAGTGAGGTGTAATCATGAGACGTTGACATTTCAGTAAAATGCATTTTCTATATATGGTAATTGTATATAATGAGGTTTCACCCCAACCAACAGCTTACTGCTTTGCATTTTATATCTTTTTTTATAGTTTTATTTATATTATTTTAAATTTTAGTTGTATTAATTTTATCAAAATAACTATTAATAAAATCATTTTTTGAATTAATTATAGTGTTGTTATGAGAATGATTGCATGTTACCAACTCCGCATTTAATAGATTACCACTTACACGGTGAGCATTAAATGGTTTAAACTGTAAAATCAAATCAAACCATATCAAATCATCAATTTTAAATTGGTATATCTTTTTACATGGTTTGTTTTTATTTACAATTGGATGACCACTTTCAAAACAATTAATTTGATTTTTATTTGATTAAACCATTTAAAACTTAATCATACCATATTAATAACAAATTCTAAATCTTGATGAGATAGAAAAATTAGAGCATGATATTTTTACCCTAATGTTATCTTATATGTTATGTATGGATTCATTAAAATATTCAATTATAATTAACATGAATTTTTTAAAAAATATTTCAAAATCATTAAAAGGACATTCTATTATTGATGTCATTATGTTATTAATTTAAATTTAAATGTCATGTTTTACATCTAATTTGAAGCTTTAAAAATACACCTTGTGATTGTGATATTCTTTTCAAAGTCATTTCTTATGTTTTCAGTGTTGTTGTATTAAAAGAAATTTAATTGCTTTAGGAATAGGTTTTTATTAGTAGGTTAGATTTGGATGGATCATAAATGTTACTTACATGTAATATTATTGTTGTTATAAATTTAAATTGCAAAAATTGATGATATTTTGCATGTGTTCGGCAATAACTTTTTAAATAGCCTTTAATAGTCTAAACGCTATTTTTATAGTGTTCGGTAACATAGTGTTTAAACTAACTTTTACAGGCTAAGATAACGTTTTATAAAAGATTAACTCATATAATGTTTAACTTTTAGCGTTTTATGAAAAGTTATTCAAATAGCTAATAACAATGCTATTAAAATAGTTAATAGTTATCAAAACAACTAATTTTTTCGAATAGACTCTTATGTTATTCTTCTTTGTTATAAAAAAAACTAATTACTTTTTTACTAGTTATAATTTTTTATTGTTATATATTGTATATGAATTCATTACATTGTTTAATCACAATTAACACAATTCATTAAATTATTTTAATGGTACCAAACACACAGCAAATCGAATTGCACCAAACCGCTTTATTACAGCTTGGTTTAATTTAGTTTCTGTGGTTAAATGGTTTAGTTTAAGTTGACATCTACAAACCATAATTTTGGTTTAATTTAAAAATTTTTTGAAACCATATCAAATCAAAATGTTATCACCCTTAACTATTTGTATGGAATCAATGTTTTAATTTTAGTCAAATTACTATTTCAATTTTTTCAAATTACTAGTTTTTAGATATTGTATTACATGTTATTTGTTGTCATTATATATTAATAAAAACCTGATAATATAATTATATTAAATTGATAATCATATATCAACCAAGTATGGTTTGGTTGGTGTTCTCACTAATATAAGCGGTGAGAGGTCTCAAATTTGAGTTCTCTCAACTGCAAGAATTTTCACCAATTTAGTGAGTCAAAAGAAGACTACCCCTTTTATCTAATCTATCATGTCATTTTGGCCATTAAGTCTTCTAATGAGTTAAAAAAAATAGGGATATCATATTAAATATCAGTTTTTAAAATTTAATTTTAAAAAATGTCAATTTGACTTTGAGATTTTAAATTATTGACATTTGTGACATACTACTATTGTGCCCTTTTTTAGTGGTGGGCATTAGTTTGTTAATATTTTAGTGCTTTAATATGTTTGTGTTTCCCTTTATATTAATTTTTTAATTTCACCGTTGTTTTCTTTTTTCTTTTTTAGTATGTCAATATTTAATGCTGCTATTTTTTTTTCATCCCTCATTATTTTTTTATCGTTTTTTCTCCTTTTGTTGTCGTTCATTTTTTTTCTTTATTGTTTTTTCTCCTTTTGCTATCATTCTTCTCTTTATTTGTGTTGTTCTACGGTTTTGATTTTTATTCATAAGGTATGTTGATTTCTGTTTTTGATTTGTTATTTATTGTTTGAAATATCTCTATCAATTTTTTATGCAATTAGTAAATATTGTAGAGACAAGGTAAAACTCTCAATTATATTTGGATTGATACTGATAGAGTGTATATATATATACACATGCGCCGTATTTATTTTGTTTGATCAATGTGTTAATTGATGTACATATATCTATCTATATTTAATTGATTTTACAGTATCTACTAATCAGTATATATATATATATATATATACACACATACAAACACCATATTTACTTGGTTTGATCCAATGTGTTAATTGATGTGTATATATCTATTCTGTATTTAATTGATTTTACAGTATTTACTGATATAGTATACTAATATAGTATATACATACACACAACGTAGATAGCCTCGTTGTTGCCAAGCATCAATTACCATCACCAACATCATCATCGTGGTTAAATCACATCAACTGTATAGGAATTTGCTCTTACAGATTTTGTATTTTCTTGTGTTTCCTTTTTTTCAGTGTTTTCTTTTTTTTTTCAGCATTTACTTTTTTTCAACGTTTCCTTTTTTCAGCGTTTCCTTTTGTTCAATATTTCTTGTTTCTCTTGCAAGGTAAGTTTTGGTATTATTAAAATTTTTTTTTACCGAATTTGTTATTTTCTTAGTAAATATTTTTTTTGACATTTTATTAAAATTGAGACCTCATATGTGAAATTTGTTAAATTGCCCCTAAAAAATAATCAGAACATATTACCTTTTGATTTTTAATATTTTTTCAACTTTTCATAAACCAATGTTAAAGATAACATTTTAATTAAGAAAGCTCATACAATAGTTTGAAGCCATCAATAGAAATATATTTTCAAAATAAATTATAATTGTGGCTTTTAAAATAATATTCATCTATTAACATATTATTTGATAATTTTTATTTATACAAAATAGGGAAGGATATTAGATAGTGATATAGCTCAACCATTTTATTAAAAAAAATCTTTAAATAAGCATATGTTACTTAAAATGTTTACGAACTATGTTTTTATTGTATTTTTCTTCCTTTTCATTGAGAAAAATTTTATTCTCAATTAGTTGATAAGAAATTATTCTTTTGATGAATTTTATTTGCTTGTAATTTATCTTTTTCCTAGGATAATTTAATAAAATTATTGAAAAACTTGAATAATCCAAATTGCTCTATTCCATTGATTCAATTTCTCATTCCATCTCATTTCACAATACTGGGATGAGATCGAATAGGTCTACAACATACATATTAGGATGGAACTGGAATTTCATTTTTGCATCTCGATATTCTTTTAAGAAGAAAAACAATTCATTCTAATTTATAAAACGAAGAAATACAATTAGGAACAATATTTCAAACTTGGAGGCGAGCATATTTATATGTTGCCCTTTCCAAACAATGGTCTCCCGTATTAAATTGTCTCATAATCCATCGAACATAAACATTAAATCTAAAATCATTCTACAATCCATAACAACACAACCATTCTGAATTATCTACTTCATTTGAATTCAAAACATGCAAAAGCAATTTGGAATCAATAAACAAATAGCTTCATTTAGGTAAATAAACTTCAACCATTGCAAGGCAGTATGAAAGGCTAAACTTTCTATCAAAGCCACAAACTCGTCCCATGAAACTGTCCAGAGATCGCAAAATGGAGCCATCCTTCCAAATCCTCTTAACATCCCATGCTTGCCCATTCAAATTCACAAGGTCCCTCACACATATAGAAGGCTCAATGAAATCGAAGCTATCCTCCACAAAACAAAATGTATCATCTTTAGAAATCCAATGTTCACGAGCTACAACTATCTTCTTGTTATTCTCAATCCTCCACTTAACACCAGCTTTTAATACTCGTTAAAAGACAAGATATTTCTCCATGGAAAACTAGGGTTACTTCAAGATTACCGGTTAGAAAATGCCCATTGAGAAAATATTTAGATTTGAAAGTCTTATATAGAAGAGCATTATTTTCAATTAACAACCTCCAACCTTGTTTTCCTAACATGGTCGTATTGAAATTTTGTAAATCCCTAAAACCTATACCACCATCCTTGTTACTTAAACATATGTGACTCCGAGATAACTAATGAATACGACTACTCTCACCACTCTTCGATCCCTAAAAATACTTGCTCATAATCACATGTAATTTATTACGGATAGATAAAGGCAAAAGAAAAATACTCATATAGTAGCTAGACAAAACTTAAGAATAGATTTAAGAAGAATTTCCTTAGCTTACCAGTCTTAAAAAGAAACCTATTTTATTTTTAGAATAGAAAATTATATAATCCTCACCTTATCCCAATCTATACACAATCTAATTAGATAAATCAAGTGAGTTCATTAATCTTTAATGTTTAAATCTAATCAAGTGATAGGTGTTATTTTTATAGTATTTTTAATATAGTTCTTATTAAGAATTTTAATAATTTTAATCAATTTTATTGACTTTTATTTAGTTTTATTTATGTTTTTGCTCAAAACTTCCTTGAATCATAATCCACTTGATCTTAAAGAAATTTGCAGGGTTTTGGCATAGAAAAATTTATGTTTTGCTCAAAACTTTCCTTGCAATATAATCCACTTGATCTTAAAGAAATTTGCAGGGTTTTGGCATAGAAAAGAGCAAAATAAAGCAAAACACTCAAGCCCTAGCACGCCCTGCCCGTGTACATTAGCACGCCCGTGCTCAACTTAAGGAAAATCAAGTGGAAACTCAGACTCTAGGGTGGCCGGACCGTGCTATCTGGCACGCTCGTGCCTGAAAGGACCTGAGGGAGTGCTTGCTTAAGCATGCCCGTAATGCATTTCATCTTGGAAAGTCAGAGCCTAGCACGCCCTAGTCGTGCTATGGGGCACGCCCGTGCCACAAATTCTTCTCTGGATGTGTTGCACAGCACG